AAAACATTCTAGCTTTATAAAATAACTCTGAAAAATTGAAGTACTTTTATAACTTAATATAAAATGATTTAGCAGAAACCTTACTGCTGTTTTCTTCTTAGAAAACTATTAGTTAATAAGCTCTTTTCTGAAAACATCTAATTAGGCTTAACTTTTCAATAATGCTTGAGAAAACATCTCATTAGGCTTAACTCTTCAATGGTGCTTGAGAACGATAACAACAATCGCGTGAAATTAATTTAAAAAAGTATCTATATTTTAATCCAATAGTTTCTTTTTTTTATGTCAGAAACCTGAAATCCCTTATTTTTACCATATAATTTTTTGTAGAATATTTTATCATTTTACTGTGTAAAATTCCCTGGCAAATATTAAAAAGCTGATTTCGCCACCCGTGTTAGGAACAACACATGTAGCCTAATGTGAAGAATTGGAGTAGTGGCAACTTCTTTACTATGCATACAGAGCGATATAAAAATCGTGCCCCACCGTGACCTTTCTAAGTCTTGACCTTAGGGTTGTCCATTATGTTCTAAATCCTGACCTTACAGTTGTCCAAAATGTTCTAAATCCTGACCTTACAGTTGTCCAAAATGCGCGTCTCTAACACAAAGGATCACTTCCACTAGTTCTTACAAGGTGAATGACATTCCAAACCAATCAGTATAACAAAAGTAAATGAGGCAGTTAGTGAAATGCAAACATGAGTCAGGAAAGTCGTTGTATGGGTGGGACTCAGAAATAACATATTGATGGTGCATAACCCGTAGATCATGCTAGATATTATATATATACGTATTTCAGGAATCTTGTCTCTAAATCTGTTCTTTGTCTCGCTATTTTGAAGAAAATGAGTATTTCTCCAACTATTTGTTTTCTAAACAGCTGCTGCTTCTCTACTGACCGCTACTTTCGCTCTGTCCAACGTTAGGAATCGGACCCTGAAGTTTAAACTTAACGATGATTCGCAGGAGGACTATTGGAACAGGGATAAACAAAACAAGAACTAATTGATTTCGTCTTTTCGGATTCTTAGGTTTCTAATAATTTATTGATTGAAGAATAAACAATGAGAGGTTTTATCACATAGCAAGATGTGTCAGCACCAGTTACAACCGAGATTTAATCTCTCTTCCAAAGCGACATCTAGATAACAGAAAACAGGCGACATATGATTAAATAATTATCGAAAATAAAAACGTATCATTGCCACTTATCGCTGATTTTCTATGGACCTTCCAAAAGCTTTGAGGTATTTGTTATTGTTTTATTTTTCTGGTGCTAACTTTTTTTTTACTGTTAGCTCTGCATGTTTTTAAATATCGTGCATTTTCTTGAAACAAGGTACTGAAAAACTGCGAAACTTTTGCAAATGTTAGTTACTAATTGATTAGTGTAATAGCCAAGATAAATTCTCAGATAAGAGATGCGTTTTCTAGTTTTGAAAAACTTTAGAAAATTTAATCATGTATGATTTCATTTTTGGTCGACACAACTTGCTCAACAGATAGCAGCACCTTAACAGGAAATGTTCTTTTAGACTTTAACACTACCTCTCCTTGCTGTTTGTTACGCACAAAGCTATACAATAATTTATCTGGGCTCTGCACACCGTAGGTATCGAAACCCATTTTTATGTGTGTTATAAGCCCACGAGCTGAGCCACCAGGTTGTGTATATAAATGAAACTTGATAATGGAAAAGTCCGTGTAGTATTCAAAAGTCGAATAAATAAAAAATTTAGATTTTGCACATAAAAATAAATATATTCTAAAATTTCAAAAGTATTAACCCATTTAAAGTTTTAATTTTGTTATGATAAATTTTCACATTTGAGATTTCTTTAACAGATACGCGTACTTTGCGTCGGGTCTGTAATGATAGATAGATAGATTGTTACAGCTCCTACATATGGTATATTGTCATATAGATAGATTGTTATATATCCTACATATGGTATATTGTCATATAGATAGATTGTTATATATCCTACATATGGTATATTGTCATATAGACAGATTGTTATATATCACACATATGGTATATTGTCATATAGACAGATTGTTATATATCCTACATATGGTATATTGTCATATAGACAGATTGTTATATATCACACATATGGTATATTGTCATATAGATGTTATATATATCCTACATATGGTATATTGTCATACAGACAGATTGTTATATATCCTACATATGGTATATTGTCATATAGACAGATTGTTATATATCCTACATATGGTATATTGTCATATAGACAGATTGTTATACATCCTACATATGGTATATTGTCATATAGACAGATTGTTACGACACCTTGTATAGCAGCTTCTCAGGTTCTTTGGAGCGGTTTGGGCTTCTAAAAGACAGCGACTACCACCTAATCTCCTTGTATACGTTCTATAATTCAATTTGAGCGCTCTAACGTGCAACCTATTACAGCACGAGGAAGAGCTGAAACAAAGCGGTGAATGTACCGTAACTCGAGGCGACTATTTTGTCTAACAGAGGGCGTAGTTCAATAAAAATATTTTGACATTGAGGAAGAGCTGTTAGTAGAAACACATTCGGACGGTTGAGATTCAATCAGCAGCACATTTCTCGAGTTCTGATTTGATTTCCGATTTCTGATTGAATGTTTAGGAAAAACAAAAATCGCACGTGCACGTTTCGCTTTATATTCACGGAGAGCAAAAGAAAAGCGATTATTCTGCTCGATATGTGATAACCAACGCATTTTTATACACAGATACATCCGTGTCATCAATTTACGATGCTCAGCAGAGACCGACAGAAAAAAAATGTTCTTACACATATGGATAAATGAAACAATATAAAATATATTTAAAAATATGTAAAGTCTCATTATTACTGTTAATTTAAAACAAATAAGTACAAACATACACACAGAAGAGCATAAATACCGATTTTGTATTTATGTTTGTGTTTAGATTTAATTATGTTCAATTAACAGTTTTTTTTTAATATTTGTAAAGATCATTTTATATTTTTTAATTATCATTAATCATTTACAGGAACTATATATATAGACACACGTATACCAGGAACCAAATGTATGTATATACTAGTATACCAAGAACCAAATGTATATATATACTAGTATACCAGGAACCAAATGTATGTGTATATACTGGTATACCAGGAAACAAATGCATGTATATACTAGTATACCAGAAACCAAATGTATGTGTATACTGGTATACCAGGAACCAAATGTATGTATATACTGAAATACAAGGAACCAAATGTATGTATATACTGGTATACCAGGAAACAAATGTATGTGTATACTAGTATACCAGGAAACAAATGTATGTATATACTAGAATACCATTTGCAGTATTTAGTTCTTTCCCTAGTCTCGGCTTTAGCCTAACGGCAGACGTGCCCAGACTGTAAATCAAAGGATTCATGGCTCAGGACCCGTTGCCACAAACATGCTTTTTGCTGATCCCGAAGATGCAATATATGAGAGGGTTTGGTTTGATTTGAATTTCGTGTAAAGCTACTGGAGAGTTATCTACGCAAACCGTCTCTAATTTGGCATTGAATAACTAGAGGGAAAACAGTTAGTCAATATCGCCCACCGCCAACTCTTGGGCCACTCTTTTACCAACGAATAGTGGGATTGACCGTCACATTATTGCGCCCCACGGCTGAAAGGGCGAATACGTTTGGTGACGAGGATTCAAATGCGCGATCCGTAGATTGCGAGTCGAGCGCCCTCTAACCACCAGATAATGCCAGGCTCAATAAACGAGGTATTCAAATATCAGTTTGATCATAGAAGAGTAGCCTAAGAGTTAGCGGTGGGTAATGTACTAGTTGCATTCCCTGTAGTTTATCAGTTCACAATTAGGGACGGTTATACGCAGAGAGCGCGCGAACTTTTGAAACAAACAAACAATGCGTTTTTTGAGTAATATCCAGCATTGTGCGTGTGAAGTTCTGAAACAAACAATGCGTTTTTTGAGTAATATCCAACATTGTGCGTGTGAACTTCTGAAACAAACAAACAATGCGTTTTTTGAGTAATATCCAACATTGTGCGTGTGAACTTCTGAAACAAACAAACAATGCGTTCATTGAGTAATATCCAACATTGTGCGTGTGAACTTCTGAAACAAACAAACAATGTGTTCATTGAGTAAT